TAAATACTTGGAACAAAAGACATGAAAAAGTCTTGTGTACGTTTATATCATGATGGAAAATCTTAATTAAATTGTTGCAGTGGCCATGTAATGAACCGTTAAATGCATTGCGTGCAACACCAACAAGAAAAAGAAATTGTTTGAAAACTTCTTTCCCCCTCCCCCGTCAGAAAAAAAATTAATCACCTGGTCCGGAAGTGACGAAGGAAGGATTGCGTTACACTCACTAGACCGAGATTTACGTCTTGCGCTTAGCAATTTTCTTATTATACAAGAAACTAAATGAATATCAAGAGGTTGCTCACTGAGAGGTTGATATTGCAACGTATGGAATGGTTTTCCGGAAAAGTGTTGCACAAGCTTGGACTGGAACCGGCGTACAAGCTCGCATTCTCGTCCCCAGAGCCGCTTGGCCCTCTTAACCGTCGGAGACTGAGCACGAGGGCCGAAGGGCTCTGGGGACACAGAATTTGATTGGCTAGTTTCGAAACAATAAAATCTAAAACGGAAGTAAAATTTCTGGCGTGGAGAGTGGAGTGGCTGATTTGATATGGCGCGAAAAATTAAACTCGAGCAAAGAGAATAATTTTCGCAATGGAGGTCTTCAACGAAGATTCTCCACAGAAGCCGACTGTTAGCTTTGACAACATCTGTCGGACATGTAACCGAACGGTTTTAGAACGAAATCACCCCGTTGATTTATTTGGCAAGAAAATGAGCTCCCTGTTAATGCAAGTCGTAGTATTTTTATCTGGGAAAAAAATTTCGATGGAGGATAATTTTCCAAGAAAAGTTTGTCAACCATGCTTTCGCAAGGTGATCAGCATCGCAGAATTCAAGTCAATGACTCAAACAAGTCTTTCTTCCCAAGAGCAAACTCTAGCGGCAGCAAAAGTTAAAAGACTTCGCAGTTGTCAGCAAGTGGGCGATTCCCCTTCGTCCAGCCAGAAAAGTAAAAAACGTGTTGCCGCGAGATATGTTCGAACAAGTCTCTTCTCTACAGATGGCACTACCGACAAAACGTCTTCTCAGTTGACAAAGTTCATACCTATCGCGCCTAAACCTACCACCAATACTCAAAGGATCCTTCCTGCGTTTTTACGTATCGATGAAGCGGGGAAATCAGAGGAGAAGAAAGAGAAAGCGAAGCAAGTTGAACCATCTGTGCCGGAAAATATCATGAAGCAAAGTGGTCTGCGAAAATATCAGGTGTGTATGCCGGATGTTTTTGTTTCATAAGCTTCCTGGTTTGTTGTTATTCATGTTGTTACACTCTGTATTTTTTGTTTATAGAGCACTGCTTCTGTTAAGATTAATTCGACTGATGCGCAGAAAATCCAATCTAGTGTGAGCAAAGGGAATGTTCAGTTAATCGCCGAAGCAGTAATGAGCATTGAATCTATCAAAAAGGCAGTTAAAGAGCACTTCCTAAAAGACATTGACAAGCAGTGCCAGAACTTATGCGTCCATAAAAAAGGAACTCCTTCAGTGCTGAAAGTGAATGAAAGTTCTTGTGTTGACGCCCTTAAGAGTTTTACCTGGGAAAAAGTAATGATTGAATTGAGAGACCGGGCTCCAGATGTGTTAGATGTAATGACAACCATTTGTAAACAACCGTCGGTGACTCACGTTCCCGCAGTTTGTATGGGCTATGCTATTTTGATATATCAGAGGAATTCCAAGCTGGGATTGCTTCAGAAGCTATTGACAGTCATGATGGGGTCTGGTGGATGCAGTCGTAGGGTACGTACAATATAAACACCAAAGGTGAGGAGGTACGGTATTAATTGAAACAACAACTTGATTGGAGAGGGGGGGTGGGGGTGGGGGGGGGGGCTTTAAAGAAAACTAATTTATAATGTGAATAGATAAAAATGATTTGCCCTTTAATCAGTCTTACTGTCAATCAAAATGCCTAGACAGTATATTATTAACCGAGAATGAACCCAATGTTTTATTTTGAAACAGCAAAAAACAGGTTACAAAAGGATCCAATTATTTACTAAACTTTGTTAATAACAATCAAATAACTATTTAATAAGTATTTACCAAAGTGGAGGTAAAAATGCGGTAGAGGTTTACTGACTTGAAAAGTGGCAAGGCAAAAATTCACCTCTCCTCACTGACACTGAGGTAAATAATTGTTTTAGTGGTCTTTAGTATACCATATATACCAAAGCAGTGGATAACCAGCCAAAAATATTATAGTTAGATTATTTCTCATAAAATGGGGAAAAAGTTTGTGAATGAAATCCAGAGGTGGATATACTGCCAGTATTCTAGGTTTTAGTAGCCAATCAGAGTGTATGAAAAACACTATCCACTAGTTTGCTATTTACTAATACTAGTTTCTTTACAAACACCTCTTTGGCATGGATATTTATTTTAAATCCAAGACAGACCAAACATAAACTTCAATTGCTCACATCGACTCACATCTGTCCATTAATGTTGTTTAATTTTTTCAGACCTTTACTTGCTTGAATGCTTTAGGCATCACCCAGTCTCAGAAGACGTGGGTCAGGACCATGGACACAATTAGTGATGCTTTGGTACCAAAGATTCAGAAGCTGGTGCGGGAAGGTGAAGAGCTACGGGTTAATTTTGACAACCTTGACTTCCGTATCTTAGCAAATCAAGTTCTTTCAAATCATCGCAACACGGATGTACACTGGATTAACCAGTATATTACATTTGACAGGGTGCCATCAGGTCATCTTGACAGCACAAAACCACTGGCAGATTTGAAGGAACTTCCTTTGACTGAGTATTTACTTAGTAAAGATGAGAAAAAAGAGCTAAGAAGTACCATGATCACATTGGTGACAAGAGTGTTAACAAAGATGATGCCATCCCTAAATCACATTAAGGAGGCTGTCCCCAAGCACATTCCCCACCCTCTCAGTAAAGAGATGGCCAAAAAATCGGTTATAATTGGTTTACCTGTACAGCCATTTAACCAATCCAAGCATGCTGATGTTATCCAGTACCTTGATTATATGGAAGGCCTCCTTGGTACAATCTATACACCAGAAGACCATCAAGTCCCAGCAAATGAATCAACAGAAGAAAAGCAGGCAAGAATGGACAGAATCTTGAATGGTGTTAAAGTACCCCTTGGTGGAGATCAGCTAGGGAGAGAGAGGGTGACTGGAGCCAAGAAATTACGCCTGGGGTGTGACAGTGCTACTGCAAGGCTAGAACACATTGAAGAAATGCCAGAGCTTTGGCATGCAAAGCAGGCCTTCCTTAGTGTAAGTGAAATGGTCTAGCTAACAAAAATAACAAATATATAAAACAATAATAATTAAAGTAGTAAAATGTATGATAACAAGTGATAATATTTATGATTATCTTTATGATCATTATTATAACAACAAAAACAATAGGATATGAAGGTAGCAATCATGTCTGAAGTTAGCACCATTAATTCTTTGGGGCTTTTATTTCAGTATTGTCAAAAAATAATCAGCTAAAAACTGAAAATATACACACCATATAGAATTGGAATTTACAACAATACTAGCTAGAATGCACTATTTTTGTCTGTAATTTATATTACAATTGTACAAAAAAAATGTTCTGTGATTTAATTAATAAGAGACCTGTGATGAAAGCTTTCATTTGCTAAACGTGAATCCACATATCAATTGAATTTATAATTTTTTCTGCGTGCCATGTACTGTTAGCCTCATTTACTGCATCAACACTGCTTTGCAGGAGGAATCTCCCTGACTCTTTTAACCTGTCTGTTGTTAAGACATTTATATTTTATTACTGGGTTTAGAAAGCAGTATTACATTGTTTATTATTAACCTAATACATAATAAACCATTTTACTTTTCAGTTGATCTGGGAAAAGCTGTTCAACACAAAGTCCTCTCGTGACATTGGTACCCTCTACTACTTTAGACAAAAGTTTGGTAGAACAAATGTTCCTACCCATGTGAACTACAGTGGTGCAGAAGCCCTTGTCCTTCAAGTGACTCGAGCTCATATTTGTGAAGCCTTCATGACTTGGGCAGGAATGGAAGACATTGACTCAGAACCATCCTGTCTCAGTCTTCCCGAAAAGTCAGCATCTCACCAGGAGAAGATTGCTTTTGTTGAAGAAAACATTGGCAGTTTTGTAGACAAGTACTGCATGGTCCATGCAGATGTTGAGGAAGCATGGGCTTTAGATGAGGAGCAAAGGCAGTCTCTCAGAGAGGATGGAAATAGATTACATGCCAACCAGACAGCTGCAGGTGCACCACAAGATCTGTATACACCAGGTATCATGTTATCAATTAACACAATATCCAGACTTGTAATTCAAATGTCTCCCTTAATAATTATTTTCATGCCCCTTCTTAACTGTGCCCCTAGGTGTCATGAATAAGAACTAGTAAAGAATAAACAGTTTAACTACCAAAGAGCTGTGTTTTAAGAGAGGTCAGTATGTAATTGACTATTTCAAATGTGACAGAGTGACAGTTCACTTGAAATAACATTTTTTAATTAATTTACTTACTACCAGGTAAATATTGGTGTTAGTAGCTTGGGGAGAATTTATTATTCCGAGCATTTATTACCCTACTTAGTTACATTTTTACATTTTACATTTTATTACATTTTTATAGTCACCATTAACTTGCTGATAAGTTTAATGCAGTGACAGAATTTGATAATATGTCATGGCCTTCTACACGCTGATAAGATACTCGAGACCGATAGAGCTAAATGTGAGAGGGTCATTTACAAGCTAAGGCATTACACCAGGTTCATCATGATTAGGATAATAATTTTGGTAGAACCAGTAAAATCACTATACTAAGGCAAAACTGTTACTTTCATCACTGAGTTCCACATTAATTTAACACATTCCTCTGACAGATAACAGATAAAAGATACTTATTTATATATTGTAGGTACCACAGTTCTGCTCATAAAAGCAACATCTGCAACTGGATTGATAATGCAGCATCGGTTAAACTTTGTGGCTACTGGTCTGATTGTTGAGCCTGGTCTAACGGCTATGCCTGGTCCAACTGAAGTTGCAGTTCGAGTAACAGCATCATTGAATACCAGCAACCTGCTTACAGAAACTCAAAATAATTTGCAGATAGGGCAATTGGTGATCTGGCCAAAGAAAAGCATGGCAATTTTTCAAAGGAATCCTGTATTTGTGAATATTCATAACCAGTCAGGATGTAAGTTGAAACAAGAAGACAACAAAATCACTCATGGCCTGAATAACAATAAATAGGTGAAACTACACATTTGTGCACATACAAAATATATTTTTAAGGAAGATGTGTTTACACCTTGTTAAGGCAGGTGTTAAGCATCACATGGGTGTCCCAATGCCACTTGTCATTTTGTAGCTACACTCACCTGGTAGTATTTAAAAACATGCTATACTTATTTAATTAAAAAAGAAACTTCCTTGGCAGGGTTTTCAGGAAAATGTGGTAACATCTCTCAAAGATTACGTTGTTTAGGCTAAAATATTGCTAATTGGTGTTGTTCCAGGAAAACCATACCCACTCCTTGAGAAAGGTGGTTGTAACTTTTGGGGGAAGGGGTGGTTTCAAATACTACAGTTTTGTAATAGAGAAATGTTGAAAGCTTAACTGAAATTTCTAACAGGGTGTGTGTGTGTGTGTGGGCAGGGGGGGGGGGGGGGGAAGTGTGGAGGGCTACGTAAATATTCACAAATTATTATTTGTATAAGTATTCATTCAAGTACATCATTTTCTACTTCATTTATTCTACACACATGATTAAATGGGTGAATACAGTATTTAAAAACAACAATTTGGTTACACTCTAAGAGAAATGATGAGCATTAAATTAACAAATGAAACAAAAATTTTGAGATAATAATTTTTGAATTTACATTTTTTTCACACAGCACAAACAGAACCTTCCATGCCACGTGCATCAATAGGGCAGAGCAAAAAAACAGTAACTGTGGCCACAAAGGACAGTGGACAAAAAGGTATCTCAATTCTGCATTCATTTACCTATGTATATTTACATTCATCCATCAATGCTAATGGTCATAACACAATTCTTGTTTAGGAGGGCTAAAATAATTTCTTATCAATACTAACAAAGCTGATAATAATGTGTTTAATTCATAAAATGATTATGATTATTTTATTCTGCAAATGGAGACAAGCTATCACTCATGTTTCTTTTTCATCCTAATTCCTAGAAGACAAAGAGGCAAGTGACCATGTCACCAACTATGCCAGACAAGTTATTCAAATGGGCCTGATGCTGATGAATTTAAATGACACAGAAAGAGAAGGTGATGGTGCAAGGAGTGTATTAAACTGGAAGATTCTTCTTCTTTATTTTCGGTCACGCAAGAGGGGGCAGAAATACGCATTTGAGGCAATGAGGTTTCTATCAAACGTTAAGGCACTATATAGTGCAAAAATGGCACATCGTGCTATACATGGACGGTTTGTGAACCAGTTAGGCGGTGACGGAAGAAATGTTGCGAATGACCTGAAGCAAGAGCATCACGTCAAGAAGAACAAAAAGTTCATTACTAAAACCGGGGCTCAAAAGACTCTCAAGGCGGTCACCCGAGCTACAGGTGCTTCAAATGGAGTTGATGACATAAATACCAATCTTGAGGAACAAACAAAGATCCACAGACCCTCGAGCAAACACACCATTGCTAGTGCAGAGGAGGACGAGAAACAAATGGTCAAAATCTTGAGAGGTTTAAAACCATTTGTCTTAATTCCAAACAGGAAGCACACCCATTTCCCTCACATCTCAGAAAGCCCATGGATGAACTTGATGTAATGCTTTTCAAGACCTGGCTTACAAGACATAGGAATCAACTTGCAAGCAACAGAAATGCTGAATATCAGGCTGAAGATGAAGATGGAGTTGAAAGTGATGATGATGAAACAAGTGCAGATGGCAATATTCTAGATGGAGAAGAATCCAGTGATTCAAGTGAAGATGAATGAAATTGACATCACTTATAAACTTAGCCAAAAACACTGGCCATTAATCAACTAATTAGTTATCAATAAATTCAATAAATTCCAACATACTTACCCTCCTCCCCCCACTGCTAAACCTTGAAAAAGCTTTTAAATGTCTAGTGGTGTGGACAAATTGCTTAAATGCCTATGGCCAGAGTGTGGGATCACATCCAGGGGCGGAATCTAGTTACACCCCTCAAAGGTGTTACAGAACACAGGTGATATAATAGCAAAGAAACTCAGCATTTTACCAGAAACATGAGGATATATCAACTGTCCTGGGATAGGCTAATACTTTGACCCAGGAGTACGGATGTGAGAAAAGGCCTGACTCACGCAGTGTCAGGGGGGGGGGGGATTGGCACTGTTGGAAATGAGTGCTTCATGATTTTTTCAAATGAAGGTCTCTGGGCAAGAATGTCCAAAGTGACTTTGTGAAATTAATGACTTGTTATTGTCAAGGTACTTGAAACAGATACAAAATGGGGGAAAAATTCACATCTTTGAGAAAATGTTTTAGGAATAAGGACACCTGTATGTATTTTAAAAATTTTTTCTATTTGAAAAACAAGGGATTTATTGACCTAGTTGACATCCTGTCATTTACAACATCAGTCTTCAATCCAGGCAAGTGAGTCCCTTTTGAGGCACAAAAAGGAAGATTTCAGATTTTACAAATGGTCACTTAGGATGTTCTGCCCAGAGCCCTTCAAATAATACTAGTAACAAATAAACAGCCAAACCTCATTTACAGACAGTAACACAGACAGTTGACCAGAAAAACTTAACAGAAAAATGGGCATGTAAAAATGAAGCCACACAAATTTCCTGAGTGTCAATGGCTAAAATGCTTGCAAGAGGTAACACCTTTAGGGACTTTTATCACAGTTCACAGTACTCAGTTCTTTATAGTAATATAATTAGTGTAAAAGAAGAGCAATCATGAAATTGCAAGTTGATTCATGGTAGTATCCAACCTTGCCTTGATTTGACAATCACCACAGCAACAGGTTGCAGCACAGTTATCACAGTACAGGTGCAATGTACATTCTCCTTCACTGACAGGGAGACTAAACCCAAAGTATTCTAGAATAATTTTTCGCCTACAGTCACTTGTGGTAACAAAATTTCTCATTACGTGCTGCAAATGTTCCTTGGCTTTACTGATGTCATAAGAGTTGAAAAAAACTCTAGATACGGCTGGCTTTCCATCTCGACCCACTCTTCCACTCTCCTGGAAAAATTCCTCCATGGTGCTGGGAACACCAATGTGCACGACTTCTCGGATATGAGGGCAATCAACACCAATACCAAATGCCACAGTCACAAAGAGAACTCTGATTTTCCCTGGGCCTTTGATCAAGTCATCAAGGATGTCATTCTTTTCCTTTTCAGGGTATGTGGCATGAAACTGGGCAAAAAGTCTGTTTTTGGCTAATTTCAAGGAGCCCTTGGGAGTGTATTGCTCTACACCAAAATGGTGATCAAAAATGCTGAAACATTCCCCACAAATTTGCAAGTTTGAATAAAAGACAGTTAGGGGCATTTGCTCTCTCATATCCTTAAGTTTGGCGATGTAAGGCAACAACAGAACCTCAATTTTATCATCACCTGAATGTTGTCGTCTTGATGCTGTGTAGAAAATGTTACTTCTGTTTGGGTTAACTGCGATTGTCACTGGATCTGTCATACCTAAGGAACTTGAAATGGCACGTCTTGTCCGCTCAGTTGCGGTTGCAGTTAGGGCAACTATTGGCACTTTTGGGAACAAGGCACTCAGCATACTTAGTTGAGCATAAGCAGGTCTGAAATTCTTCCTGAAGATGTTGTTTAGAAATAAATAAATTGTCAAAATGTACAGTATCGTTGTTTAATTTAACAAGTTAGAAATATTATTTATCCCAAAAAGTCAGAATATAATTCCAACAGAGACGTTGAAAAATACAATTTAACCAATAGGGAGTGCACTCAGTCTGATAGTTTGAATAACGCCTTCAAATGCGCTACTGACAGCCTGTCAAGTAGAGATTTTTCACAATTCTCGACTGCCATATCAACTATTTTTGAAAACAAAAAAGAATTAACGGACTGAAGGAACAGGCTACAATCCATATTAATGTAAATACAGTGTCAGATAAATAATCAGTAGATAACATGGGTGACCTGCATTTAAAACTGTTGATATTCCACCGTTATCAACAAGAAGTATACATCTTGATGCAGAGTTAAAATTCTGCTTATTTTATTAATGATTCCAGTCTAATACGATAAAGATTGGGAGCCTACTTTATGAGTTAAGATAAAGCCTGCTATGAATACTCATGAAAATAAAGTAAAAGAGAAATTTACTTGCCATTCTTCTATAAGATGGGCTTCATCTACTACAACAGCTCTCATCTTCTCCCTGACCTGATCGCTGTCCAACACTTTTCTTAAGTTTCCTAGGAATGCCTCGGGGTGGCCGTAGATAATTCTAAATTTTGCTTGCGCGATTCCTTGAATATCTGCATCCGATACAGAGTCACCACAACGAATTATCAACGTTTTAACATTCAAATTGTCAAGCTTTATTATCTGATCTCTCATGAGTGCGTTTAATGGTGAAACAACCAAAATGAAAGAACCATTCGTATAAAGCCAAGAGTCAAACACAAATGGTAACATCTGAAAAATCAAAGATTTTCCAAAACCTGTAGGCAAAACAACTAAAACGTCTTTCTTTCTCACAACAACGTTTTTTACCGCGTTTTCCTGCTCTTTTCGAAGTGTTAATGTCCCCAGATTTAGACAACGTAAAGCTGTTAACAAGGATTCCTTGAATTTAATGTCTGCTGAGGCCGCCATTATGATTTGTCGAGCTTGCGCAGAACGACCGGAACTCCTAAATTCTAGGACTTCCGGATTCTGTGTCCCCAGAGCCCTTCGGCCCTCGTGCTCAGTCTCCGACGGTTAAGAGGGCCAAGCGGCTCTGGGGACGAGAATGACAAGCTCGATGTCAAGATATG